CAATAAAACACAGGCTTTGTATGAATGAAATGTTTCCTCTTGCTATTTTCTTCAATTGTCTGCAGCAGTATTGTAGGGGAGATGGAGACAGAGTCTGCTCAGAGGTGCACAGCTTTCAGAGGCAACAGACAACAGCTGCAACAAGGGCATATCCGATCTGACATCAGGAAAATATTCTCCATCTTAAGTGTGGTGCAGCACTGGAACAGGTTATGGATTCTCCAGCCTTGCTGACTTTTTCAAAATTCAGCTGGACAATGCTCTAAGGAATCTTATTAGCTCTGAAGTTAGCTCTGATTGCTAACTTTTAATATAATTTTATCTATGATCTTAACTGGGAAAGTATACTATCACGGTAAGGACATTTATTTTAAAAAATGCATGGCTTCATATACATTTATTCTATTTAAGAGGTGAGTTCTCACATTACTTCTTATTTAGACACATTGAATGACATATGTTAATTTATTACATCTTTTTGTGAATGTCTAATTTGTGAGAAGCTGTATTTGTATGGAAATTGCAATCTTACTTAAATGCCCAAAACAGCATTTTGAAAGAGAATTTATTAATTGAATTAAGCTTTGCTCTGCTGATGACTTTCACCAATTCAGTTTTTTTTTAATGTATTTCAACATAGTAGCAACAAGTACGTGCAGCTTGCATTTTAACTGACAATTTATATTCTTTAAAACATTTTTATTTGAAAAAATCATTTACATTATTAGCAAAAGTAGAAATACATTCATGATGATTCACATACAGTTTTTTACATTTTTTTTTAATGGACTAAAATCCAGCTCTCTATTTTGTGGGAGTTTATTCCGGTTTGCTGGAATTAAAGAGTTTTAATTACAAGGGCTAAGGATGGCAGGGAACAGAGAGAAATGAAGCAATATGCTGAAGATCAGAAAGCAGGAGGTGAAGAGGAGATCCAGAAATGGAATTCAGATTTTCTGTGCCCCAGTCAAGAGGCTGTTCACAACTGGACAAATGTACACTGTCAAACCGTGTCAACCCATGTGGTGGCACGAGTAAATGTTACAGGATTGTGCACCTTTAAAATCTTCCTTAAAAAACAAAACAAAACAAAACAAAACCAAAAAAACAACCCACAACTTTTTTTGTTGTTGTTTTAAACGAAAATCACTTTTGGTTTTAACCCAGCTATTCTTTATGGAATTGAGGTGCTCTTTTTGGATGGGCTGCAAGTAACGTTCCCCTCTCCGAAGGACAAGCTCAGACGCCAGACAGCAGGATGCTCTTGAGGGATCCCTCCAAGCTGAGAGGCCTGATGACGTTCCGTTCATGCTTCAGGTTCTTGTGGACAAGATCCAGACAACATGGAGCTTCCAGATGACATGGCAGCTGCTTCCAACAACCTCCCCGTGCTTTCCCACAGCCCTCCCCTTCCTCCTCACCTTGTTGCTCCAACCAGGAGCAACAGAGGAACCACTTCAAACTGGAGACCAGGCATCAGAGCACTGGCCTTGAAACAGCAGCCTTCAACCTGCCAACACTGCTCAGTACTCAGAAGCTGTGACAGCAAAATGAGCAGGAACAACTCTTGTGTTCGAAGTGACTGCAGGCTATCTAACTCCTGCTCCAGGTCAGAAGAATTTATGAAAATCAGCCACAAACTCTAGATCATCCTTCAAAAATGGGATGCTGAGAGCTTTCTTTGTGGCTAGTCCAACTTCACGAGAAACAGACCTAGCTGGAGCTATATTTAAAACCATTTCCCCAGTTTACAAGAGAAGGCAACATCCAGAGACCAGCAATGTAGCACCATAGCAATTCAGGCTGGAATGGCAGGAGAGACAAATCTGTGTATAGGAGAAGTTCTAATGAAGATGGGGAAGCCTTTCTCTGGACTCTAGTACTGTAAGGAAAGGGAACAATAAACTGAATTACAAAAAGCCAATGGCATATGTTGTACTCTGCTCACGCAGCTGATGGGACGTGCTGAAAGAGGGACAATGCAAAGGCCAAGAGCCCATGAGTCACAGCCGGGTCAGACCTGTGTAGATGGCAGCAACACCTACAGTCACTAAGGCTGAGGCTGTTTTCATTATGACAGTCCCAGATAGGGTCACCACAGCACCAGCCAGGAAGGAGCTAGGGGATACTGTCCTGCAATAACCTGCATTGTGTGGTTTAGTCCTGAAGAACTATGGGACACATCAGAGACAGTTTAATGGGCAATTTGGGCCACAGCCACTTTTGTTCTAGAATTACCATCTACATGCAGACTTGATGGCTTGCATATGAAGACACTGCCTAGAGTCCCCCATGCTCGGAGTGCTCCATCTTTTTGACCAATATATGATGCACAATCAATCCCTGATGAATCTATGCAAGTCAGAAATTCAAGGAAAGAGACACTTTCCTAATCTTTTTGACCTTGATGTGTAATTTTTAATGTAATCTTTCAGTTACTCCCTTCACTGTGTTAAATGGCTTTAGCGAACAAGCTCTTCCTTGCTTATGAGACGATTTATCACAGCTCTTCTCTTATTTCAGCTGTCTTCCCATTTTACTTGGAGATGGTAATTCTCCACCAGCAAGTCATGGCACATGCACAGGGAAAAGATGTGTTCTTAGCACAGACCTCATGAGCTGGGAGGAGTTATCCCTGTGATCAGCAGCTATCAACTGTCAGGAAAATCTATCACAGCTATCCATGGAAAAAAGTGCTGAAGATAATTTTTTATATCTCTAGAAAAAATAATGATCTCCCAGGGAGAACTGTGATTCATGAATAGAGGGAGGGTGGCAGCGGAGGACTGGGGTAGCAGGGAGCAAAGAGGTCCAAAAGACAAATTTGGGGTGGAGTCAAGTCTGCCCACAAATCTGGACGAAATACAGCTAGACACAAATAAACCCAAACACATGAGAGTTGCCAAGAATAGCAGGAAATAAATTTTCTTTTAATATTTTTGTGTGCATTATATGGATGGTAGCATTAAAACAGTGTTCTCCTGGAGAGAAGCACCTCTTCCTGTCCCTGCTGAAAGCAAGCAACAGAAAGGCTTCTAATAATTCCCCAAACTGTACGAATGTTAAAATTCTATATACTGTACAGTAGCTATGTTATACAGTTATATATCTATATCTATATCAGCTTACATTCAGCTCTAAATACAGAGTGGAGACTTGGCCTAGTCCAATTTCCAAGAGTTCCCTCTAACATCTTGTATCCATCCTACCTTCCTTCACACAGGCAAATTCCATAGCAGTCAGTGGCTGCCAGTGGCTTGAATGTCTTTGAGATCAAGCTCTCAGTGCTCTCCTCTCTACAGAAACATGCATACTCTCAGTATAGAGAAATTCCTCCTCCATCCCTAGTCTCATGAGCCTTGAGTACTCAAGAGGGGCATCATCCTCTGTGTAGGATGTGCAATGACCCTGTGTATAGGATGAAATTCCAGTCACCACTTAACTAGGAATGCTCTCTCCTGTATACTGGTTTAAAATAGAGATTTACCCCATCTTTGGCCAATTTTGACCTTATATGAAAAAAAACATGACTGCACAGCGCATCTTCCCCTACACAGAGGATGTAACCAGCTTCTTGATGCATACAGTAGAAATTCTGGTCCTAGGGAAGACATCTACCTCTGTGCAGGAAACTTCCCGTATATTGTGTGACCCTGGCTCTGTGTAGCAGTCCAGTGCTCCTGCAAGGCTAAATAGTACTCAGATCAGCAGCAGAGTATATTATATGATGGGGTTGAATGCCTACTCTAGCAAAGTGGCTTTCTGGTAGTTGGGAACAACACTTAATGATCCTGGAGACAAGGTCTTGCTGATCTTCTGCTGCAGTGAGCTAAGCTGCTCAGATCTGGTGCCCCACAGAAACATGACACTGTCACACAGAGTGACTAACACACTTCAGACAGCTCTTCCCCACTTACCCTACCCAGACTCATAGTGAAAATTGCCCATATACCTGGGAATGCTCTCCATGTATCTGGAAAACAAAATTCTCAAGCAGACCACAGACATCCAGTGCTACCAGAGTGGATTCTTTTCCCCAGGTTGGCCTGCCTCTATAAATGCTTATACCTGCGTATATGTTTACCTCCCCACCAGCAGCTGGCTTTGTACAGGTCAGCACAGCCAGAGAACCTGCAGGAAAAACCAAATAATTATTCTTCTCCCACATCCCATTCCAATTTGTGACTTCTTTCTGCTTTGTGAGGGAGCTCCCAGGTCAGGAGACAGGAACTCAAGTAGAGATATTGAAAGCAGGCTCAGCAACTGGAGAGTGTGGAGGTAGCCGGACCAAGACAAGTCACCAGGACAAGCTAATCCACTGCAAGTTCCCAGTACTGCGAGGACACCAGGTTCTCTGTGGCGGCTCTTGGGCTTAGGAGTAGAGGCAGACATACTTACTGCCCCCTCGAACTTGCCTGGAATGGGCATCAAGAGATTTGAGGAAGAGGCAGCACTAATCTACTTGAGAAAAATATAATGCCATACTAAATCCAGAATTCTTCCTTTTGGTAGCAGTTGTGTGTGAGGGAGGCAATGGGCTTGAGACAAAGAACTTCCCAGAGGTAGTTATAAATTATCTGCTGCCATACAGGGGCAAGGAAGTTTGCTTTGGGTTGAGGACAGCTCATCTCCCTTCCCTGAGGCCCGTAGACACAGGAGGAGGCTGTGCTATCACACAGCAAACTCAGTGGCTCAGGGGGAACGGAGGGGCTCAGGCTGACTAACCATATCCAAACTCATACTGATGCCATGCAAGAAACCTCGGCCAGGAGTCCTAAGGCATAAAGGTTTGCACTCCTCCACATGAGATGCAGCTTAGAGCATCTGTACTATTAGAAAGGACTACATCTTGTCCCCATGTATGTCTCTCCAGAGGGGCAAAGAAAGAGAAGATGCAACACATTTATAAGGACCTCTGGGAACTGAGCAGTTCATGGTCTGCCAAACAGAATTTGAGAGAAAAGAGGGGAGCATCCCACATGCTCAGCAACAGATTTAGAAGATGACAACAGCCACCATGACCGACTAGCAGAGAGAAGACTCTGTGTACTGCAGCACCTGATGAAGAGGATGTGGGGGAAGGCAGAGAAGGAAGGAAATGATGGGGAAATCACAAGCAAGAAGGACTTGTCTTGGGTTGTAGGTAGTAGAAGATGATTTCTCTTCTCTCCCTTCCTTCTTCTCTCCTACTGTTGGTAGCTCACAGAGCATCAGGCTTTCTGCGCTGCTGCTCCAGGAGCTGTCTGCAAGGGAGATGCAGGGGTTGCCCAGATCGGCGGAGACGTCGAGAAGGAAGGCCAGCCAGCTGGCGACAGATCTCATCTGAAGACATAGCAGATACACACAGGTTGACAGATAATCAAAGCTTCCTTCAAATTCTTCACTACCAGAATAGTTAGAGTTACATCCTTCACAGCATCTACAGAAACTGTTGGAACTGTTGAATCCTCACATACATGAGGAAAGTGAACAAGTCCTTAGGCTTTTATTCATTTCCTTCTGGCTTTATTCATGTACAATACATATTAAAATCACACACATTTTGCTGCAACAAAGACTGCATAAGAAATCTAGACTGTATCCTGTTTCTATTCATGAATAGAAATACTAAGAATTACTCTGTTAACTCAAAGGAATGCACCATTGAGTAAGGGTGTGTCTGGGGCTAGTAGAGTGTGATCAAGACCGAGGAAGGCAGAGCCCTTACACCTCTTGGTAGCGTGATATCTACTTCCCAGTGTTTTTCAAGGCCTGCACACGGCATGTAAGGCTGCATTGCATTAGAGCTCCCACAAACAAAGTCAAGGGAAACAACTACATATGGATTGGGGTTGGGTAATCAGTTAGCTTGGAGACTATCAGGTGGCTGCAGCTATTCTTCTAGGCTAACTTGTGCTATCACTTACCTTGCATAACCTCGTTCTCTTTGCAGACAATGCGAGAGCACACCTCCTTGTTTATTATGTACATGCGACGCACACTGAAGGATCACGAAGAACATGCCAAGGACAGCAGTGAAAGGTACAGGGACCCAAAGAAACAAAAAAGAGATAAAGGCAATAAACATGTATATTCACTGATGAGGAGGCAAATCCTAGATTTTTAGCATTAGTTAGTCTAGAATAAGACTGTTGTCAATAGGAAAGTAACCTTTGTCAAGGCTTGATGAAATGGCCAATATGACCTTAAATATGGATTACAATATAGGGCACATTACAACTCCTTAGTGCTGCACAGATAATAGTTATTGTGCTGTTTTAATTAATCACCCTAAAAGGACACCCTGAGGATAAGATTAATCTCACCAAATGGTTCCCTGAGGGAACCTCTGGTCTTCAAAGGAAACAATTGCTGAACTGGACATACCCTTCTGAAGAGTTTTTTAGGGCTTTTCTTAGGGACTGACGGTTTCTTACCTTGTAACACAGAGGTAGCTGATACACTGCTTTACTGGTTTGTGAACAGAGTACAGGCGTGTGCAAGGGAACTTTTCTTCACGACAATCTGGGAACACACACACACACACACAGAGGTGCAATCCAGCAGGTGCACTCATTCTGGCACACATATAACTTCATCACTAGGTACTGTCCTCAAGGCTTCTAGGGAAGACCCTTAGCCTCTATTTTCCACTCTCTTGTAAGAGATGGGGATTGTTTTGAGAAGAGGAATATAAGGCAGACATCTCTGACCCCCTTGCCTCGTAAGACAAAAGTAAGGGAAAGTTGCCTGAAATGCAAAACAAGCTCACTGGGAATCCTCAATACAGAAGGCACATGCTGTAAAGGGGACAGACATAAATAAACAAAATGTAAATTGTAGTTGCATATTTAAGAAGTGGTTCTAATAGATATGCAATCTAACACTTCAGGACACAAATCTAGTTCCTTTATTTTCTGGATAATCAACCCCATAGCTAACTGTGATGGGTTTTCTTGCATTTCCTTCCGAAATGTCTTAGCCACTGACAATGACAGAATATCAGTTCAGTGTATCTGGTCTGGTAACCTGGCAGTTCCTCCCCTCCCAGTCATGCCACCCAGGGGAAGACTTCAGTTTCTACTGCAGCCATTCTATGGCACTTCTAATTCAAGAAATACTCTGAAGGGAAATTTCCAGGAGACAAAGCTCAGTGCTCAGCTAACACCTGCATAGAGACGTAACAGGGTGGGTGAAAGTGGGTCTGGGAGGGGGTGCAGGCAGCAAACTTAAATGTACCTGATGAAGCCGTCGTAGTTTCACTGTCAGACTGAACTGGAAGACAGAGGGTAGCCAAGTTAGTGTGATTTACCATGATTCCTTCCTAGACATCATCTTAATCATTATCTCTTTCAAGAGTCCTCCATTGTAACTTCTGATGTGGAAAAAGATTTCATTGTCACTGACATGAAACCATAAGAGAAAGTACAAATCCAATATGAACCTAGTGCCAGCTACCCAGCCAACAATGCTAAAGATCTGTCCAAGCTTTACCCTAAAGAGACTACTTTTTGCTACTAACAGCACTCCTGTTCAAAATTTCACTGTAAGGGCATCTGACTTATAATTCAAAAGGCTGGGTAAATGTATTTAGTTGCCACAATTGCCATCCATCTAGACAGGAAGAGAAGGACCCTGTCACTGACTCTTCCTAGGAAACAGTGACTCCTTTAAGAAACAACACCCCCAGACCACTGGTTCTTAAATGTCCAAGACAAGAGGTCAAAAGGAAGTTGGTTTGCTATTCCCTCTGATAAAGCAACTCACCTGTATCCCAGTAAACCAGTACATTTTATTACTGATCCAGTAACAAAGCAGAAAGGAACTCAGAGGACTGAGTGTCAGGCACAAGTTTTCATCAACAGTTACAGAGGACTTCTACTTCTCCTGTTCATGTGCCATAGTGTCAGCCAGAAGCACAGACAAAACAGATGGGTGCAGAGAGAAGGAGTCTTTTGGGCGTCAGGGCTCTGGTTAGGGGCAGTCAGGGAAGGCAGGATTCTGGGTGTGCAAGGGACTGGGCAGGGAGAGGGAAGGGGAGTCCACAGCATTTGGCTGAAAACTCAGAATAAACTCACCAGGACTAAGAAGCACAGGTGGTGTGAAAGCTGCAGCTGGAAAAAGAGATGTTCTGAAAGATCTTAATTTGAGATTTCAGACCCTTCCCCCCTCCCACAGTTCTGCTGATGGCTGACCACTCCTGACCAGTACCCATCCTACATCTGGTTCATAGACAACACTGATCGTGATGTTATCTGACTTGTCAGAGTAACTGCAGGCTTTCCCTGCAAATATGCTGGGTGTCCTAAAGCTGAAGGGACACTGCAGAGCAGAGATGAGTCCCACAGCATGTCCTTTGTGAAGAGTTTCTTCTTGATCCCTCAACAATAAGTGTTTTGAAGACAATGTCTGCTGTAAAGGCTTCACCTTTAGTCTTTTCAGGATTAGATGTAGGGTAGCCACTGCCAGTTTGGTCCAGACACCGTCTTATCTTCCCTCTGACATACTGTCAGGCTTCACACACTGAACACAAACTAACACAGGTTGCTTTCACCTCCCCTACCCGCCAGGAAGATCATGCACCTTGCATATACAATATTGTGCTTCCACTTTTCTCCTCCAGTGCTTGCCCATGACAGCTGGCCAGCTTTACCCACAACACTCTGGGCAGCTGATGAGCAGGGCAGAGGAGAGACCACGGAACTGTTGTCCTGAAGAACAGGACACCACTCTCAGATGACCTCTCCGACACATGCAGCACGCTTCCCAGCAAGAGCCAAGCGCTGCTGCCCCTCCTTTGTCTTTTGAACCATATCATTCACCAGATGTGTTCTCCCTCTCCCTGCCCTGCCTGATCCCCCCCACCTCAAAGGGATGTGTTTGAAAGACTGCTCCAGCAGAGAGAGAAGCAATCATGGAGGCCAGTGCTGCCAGATTCAAAACAAGACTGTTGTGGAAAAAAAGTGGAGAGGCTCCTTCTTGAGCCTCTGGCCCTCTCCTCCATTCCCCATTGTGAGTCAGGCAGAATGAGCCTATCTTGTAAATGCATACACTCCCATCAGCTCTGTGTCCTTCCCCTGGGACTATCTCCACAGCAAGTCATGGCTCTCTAAGGAGGCACATCACATGCTATTAGTGCTCATCTTCAAGCATCCTCCATCTACCCTCTCACATGCATTTTGCTGCCCCCCAGTGACATAGCCACAGGCATGGCAAGGAAGACAGTACTAAACAAACAATATTTCCACCTCCCCATCCCACCACTGCTCAGTTTGCTTTATTACTGTCTTTCAGTTTTTTGCTATTTCTATCTCCTGAGCACTCAAGCATGGCTTCTAGCTGTCAGCAGACACACACACAACCTGTGTCCCAGAGCTACCCAGCTGATGAACCTGATCAATTTCTCTCCCTTATCATTTAGTTTCTTCTTTCCAGCAACTTTCTCTGGAAGCCCAGGCTGTGTGAGCTTCAGATTTCATGGCTTCCTGCAGTGCAAACAGCTTCAGAGAGCCCTGGCAGACCAGGTGAGACTGGCATTTCCTTGCCAATGGCCTTGCAGAATAGGCCATTTAAGCCACCCCAAATTAATCTCCCTGCACCCAGCACAGGAAGGACTCCCAGGTAGCCACAAATGCTGGAAGAATACTGGTAGATGTCAAAAGTGGAAGAGTTTCTGAGCATAATGGGTAATTTCTGGGGCTATGTAGGCAGGAGTAAAGGGAAAAAGAAGCCTGAAGTTGCCAAGATAGCTTACCAGAGGTGCTGATAAGAGAGTCAGTGCTAACTTCACCTGTAAAAGAGAGAATGTCCTTGAGAAAGCTTGTCTTTGCTTTGTGGTCCCTTACATGGCTAGCCATAGCTAGTTTGAGTTACCTTGGCCACCACGGTAGGCTCATAAGACAGTGAGATCCAATCCAGTAAATACATAAATAAACACAGTACACCCATCCCACCCATATCCATCTCCCTTTTCAGTGAGTGGCCTGTGAGTGGATTTCTTAGTGCACATTGCATCAATCCTTACTGAACTCTGGATTCATATTCTGACTTCTCAGACGTAGCCACTGTGGGCATCTTGGATGGGCAAGAAAGACGTCTGAAACAAAAGCGCTGATGGCTCCCACAGCAGTAAGACACTCACTGCAGAGAAGGAGGGAGGCAACTCCAGAACCTAACCTTGAGTGTGTAATTCATCAGCAGATTAGTTTCTTTGAAAGGCAACTGGTGGCAAAGCTGGGGTAGGTATGATGGAGGGATAAAGTGTGAAGAAAAGGGAAGCTTGGTGGACACACTTTGGACTGGCTTCTGAACAGTCTTCTGGGAAGCCCCAAATGTTGCACATGACAGGAACGTAGCTGGGAGACGTCTGATGGCTTAGCCAGGAGCTTCAGTCTGAAGAAAAGGCAGGCCCTTGTGGTTCCTCTGGGTGCTAAAGTATGATGCAAACACATGTTCATTTTATCTTATCATGTCACAGAAATGGAAGAAGGTCCAGAGGAATAAAGTAATTCACCTCCAACACCACAGTCAGTATGAAGACCAGTCAATATCCTTTCTCAGTGGCCTCGCTGCCAAGGCACCATGCCACTTGTGCACCCTTTTTCTTGGCACTTTCCCAAGTAGCAGTAGAGTTCCCCGAGCATCTCACGGCTGAAGAGTTAGCAGCTCTTGTGGATCTATCTCCCACAACCCTTGACTGTGAACTTCTCAGTTCAGAACCCCAAAACTAGTGAGTTATTTGTAAAGAACACACAACACTTAGCAGGCTGTCTTGGAGGGCTTGTTTAATCTCCACTGAAAGGCACGCTCACAATGTCAGAGGCAAGGAATCAAAGAACAGCATTTGCAATTAAACAGTCTATAAGTACGCAGGGTAACTGGGTCACATATGCAGTCTTTAGCTCAGAACATGCTTGTCATACTTACCAGTTGCACTTTCCAGGTCTTGCCCACTGACCATCCATGGAAACCAGTCTGCAAGGGAAGAAGAGAGGGGAGTGAAGAAAGGACAGAGAGAGGAATTTCTATAGCCTGCAAGCTTTGTGAGATTTTTTTCTGAGATGTGAATCTGTCCAGGAGACACCACTGCCCTCTGCTGAAGGGAGAAATGCTCTCCTCTCTGCCTCAGCCTCCACTGCTGGCTGGGTTTGTTCTTTAATGACTTCTGGATACAGCCAGGGATGCAGGAAGGAGATGGCAGGAAGAAGACAGTGATCTGGGGCACTGCATGGATGTGTGCAGGACCAGCCCAAAAACCAGTACACCCTGCTACATCTTATGAACTCAGCCTTTAGCTTTCTGTTCTTAATGGGAGCACTGCATGGGTAAAAACTATCAGGTCTGCAGCATTTGTCTCAGTTCTTCCTCATTCCAAGAGCAGTTACTCGCAGGCTGCAGAGGGCCCCTCGGGACTGCTATATAATCCTGCTCTGAAGCATTACATGAGTCACTGGATCCTGCTATTCCCTTCCCCACCCAGTTGCCAGGAAGGGCTCAGATGCTGGTGACTGACACAGGGAGAGCGATACGTTAATACCTTAAGTGCACATTGTAGCACAGCCCTAAACTTTCCCTGTCCCAGCTAATCTTTTAATGGTAAATAAAGGTAGAGGAGAAAAAGTATATCGAACACCTTCTCATTTGTTTCTGATACAAAAGGAAGGACACAAATTCTGAAACCATTGCAGAGGCCAGCAGTGCCGGATTTGAAACAGCAGTCATACGGAAAAATGGGAGAGGCTCCCCCCCCTTTTTTTTAACATTGAAAAGTCAGCTCTTACTAGCTTTTTTTTTTTCCTCCCTAGAAAATAACTAGAAAACTTGCCCAATTCTAAAACAACAGGACACAAGTGAAGTGAAACCTCTGTATATGAGGAGAGGAGACAAAAGAAGTGACTTTATCAGATTTTCAATCACTTCTATTTATATTTGCTCAAGTACCCAGTTCATATGCTTTATAAATGCTTGGACTTTATTGTCCAAGTTGCAATAAATTCATCCTTGAGGTCTCAGAAAACTGCAACCCTCATTCACTGTAGCTCACTCAAAATCAAGAGGCAATGACAGACCAGCTGGCAATTCCTGTAACTTTCTGAGTGAAAACAAAAAAAATCCCCAGAAATGCTAAAACAAAATAAACAGAAGTATGAAATCTTCCTTTAAGGCCTTCTTCACACATCATAAAAACCACAGCCTTTTTTTTTCTGCTTCTAACTTTGTAGGCCACCTACAAGCTCATCTCTTGGATGCCTCACCTCCCTGCTTCACAGTCAGAAACATAACATCCTCTGTTGTGTACCTCTACAGGAAAACGTGCTACTGGGAGCAGAATCAGGCTTCAAGATGAGGGGAGGACTGAGGAGAGCAGATTTGAATTACCTGATTTGAATGCGATAGGTGTAGTCACCTGTCTCCTACATACAGTCTTTCCTGGGTGAAGCTTTTTCCATTCAATTTAATTAATCTTTTGCTGTCTGTCCTGAGTCTTCTGACTATAATGTCTGATACTGCCCTCTTGTTTTGGTTTGTGGTTTGTTTTTTTTTTTTTTTAACAAATTTAATCCCACCTGAATTTTTGCCAAAGTAAGTCCAAGCAAACAAAGAAGTGGAACAACAAACCAGAACAACAACAACAAAAGCAGATAGTGGTTTGAACTATGGTGGTAGGTTTCTCAAAACAGCTGTACAAAAAACTACAGAACCTTCTGGCAGCAGAGTGGCCAG